AACATAAACTTAAAATGGAGATTCTGCGACAACAAGTCTCGAAAGATAATAAAACCCCATTACGAAATCCAACGAAATTTTAGAGTGGCATACCTAAAACGTATTGAAAACAATACACATTTTGTCATACTGGCATGGTTAATATGTTGTTTATATATATATATAAATATATATATATAAATATATATGTATTCGTCATAATCTTTTCGATTTTAAATTTCTGATACCGTAATGTGTATAATAAAGATTTCATTTGAAAGTATGAATTTTGTTAGTTTTCTTGTTCCCCCCCCCCCTCCAATTTGTTTATTGTTACTAATGACACAACGAAGACTAAGTATGTATCTAGAAGATTATTCCATATTTTAGATGCTCTGACAGTGAAAAATAGATTCTGTCAGCACTTGAAGAACAAAAGATTGTATTGCCAAGGGGAGTATGGAAATCGAAATTTTGGAAAATAATTTTTAATTTTGGAAAATAATTTTAAATTTTGGAAAATAATTTTTAATTTTGGAAAATAATTTTTAATTTTGGAAAATAATCCTCAATTTAAAAAAAAAAAGAAATAAATTAAATTTGTAGAATAATTTTTATTTTTGTAAATTTGTTTTCAATTTTGTAAATTCATTTTTAACTTTATAAATTCATTTTTGATTTTATAAATTCATTTTTAATTTTATAAATTCATTTTTAAGTTTATAAATTCATTTTTAATTTTATAAATTCATTTTTAATTTTATAAATTCATTTTTAAGTTTATAAATTCATTTTTAAGTTTATAAATTCATTTTTAATTTTATAAATTTTATAAATTCATTTTATAAATTTTATAAATTCATTTTTTTAATTTTATAAATTCATTTTTAATTTTATAAATTCATTTTTAATTTCATTTTTAATTTTATAAATTCATTTTTAATTTTATAATTTCATTTTTAATTTTATAAATTAATTCTTCGTTTTTTTTTTTCGTTTTTTTTAAAAGTTCATTAGAGTAACAGATTATATAATAAAGGGGGGGGGGGGCTTAACTGCATTTAAAAAATGGATGCTTGGTTTACTACTATAAGGGAATACCCTGTCGTCATTGTGTTGATAACAGACGGTTGTACATTCGACATACTTCAGCCATTTTAGTACTTCCATTTGATATCACCAGCACACAAATAATATACCTTTCAAACTGGGGTGTCGTTATTTGTCGAGATGGAGTTACTTTTACGTGGATAAACTTAACTGGACTTCGTCGTTCTGCAAAACTGCAGATATTTTAGTCTGAAGAGGCATTTTTCCCTATCTGAACATATGGTCATTCTGTTGCATGAGGCTATATTTACTTAAACACATTATTAGATGATTATTTACGAACATAGGGATGATCAAGACAATATGAGCTATATGGTTTGGAATAAGCTACCCCTTTTATTCACAACTTATATGAAACGGGTTAAACATTATTTGGAAATTTCCCCTTCACCGACATTCATTGACAAATCTTTCCCTGTCTAATACCTTATACAATTACTTCCATTCCCCATAACGCGATACAGCTGATTTCCGGCTTTAAATTGAGGTTTCTAGATGGTTTATTATGAAGACTTAAAAAATAGGCATGCATCATTTTCCTCGCCGCATTCACGACATATGGAATATGCACCCCGAACATTTGAACTTTAATAAAAGTGCAATTATCGAAATGTATATATATGCCGTTACATTGTCTAGTACAAAACATATTTAACATTCACGGTTCAAGTCAAACAACTCGGAAAATCACCGTTACAATTGATTAAACACTGAAGAGATTATTTAACAAACCTTACTTCACGAGTAAATATCTTTCGAAAATAACTAAACATCATTATAAATCTATGTCAATAATGTTTAATCTCTCCAATGAAATGTTTTTATACTTGTTCGAAATAAAACAGTGGTATATACTTATGTGCATCTTACAGAGTTCCCTATAAACTGCAGATATTTTATTATATCAGTCTGAACAGAGATTTGTCAGTCTGGACATATATATCATATAGTAATATTTTTGTCCAGTCACATATTTTATATTCTCTGTGATTTTTAATGAATGCTTATCGTATCTATGCACCGATTGGTAAGATTTTTCCATGAACGTATGAATTTTGAAGTGTTGTTTGTTGTTTATTCACTTACATTCATGGTTATTATATCGTGGAAACGTTATGCTTTATCCCTGTTATGTATATTTCCGGTAGATTATTATAAAATTGTAAAATTTCATATAAAAACAAACTTGTAACTTTTATCTTTAACTTAAAGATACAGTATGTAAGATTTCGATAAAGAGCTAGCCATTCTTGCTATAATAGTTCGACAATAGATAATGTAAAGTGAATAATTTGAAATTTTCATTCCAATTACTCTATTGCGAGAGAAGATATTAGCCTTTGAAGGTTTGACAAGACGTTGCAATAATTGCAGCCATTAAAATATGGCTGAACCGTTCTAATCTATTTAATATCTGAGAAATCCGAAGCAATCGAGAGTTGATTATGGCCTTGGATCAGTTAATTATGGCCTTGGATCAGTTAATTAATGTCTAATTAATAATTTAGAAAACATTTCAGGCCTAAAGGAAGTCCTGCAATAGGGAGATATAGCCCTTGCATAATGTATGTTTAATGTCTACATCTACCATTTATGGAATATAAATTTGGTATTTTTATGTGATCAACATCTTTTTCCATATCTTTAAAAAAATTTTGGTATTTCTATGTGATCAATATCTTTTTTTCCATATCTACAAAAATTATTGTTAAAGTAGCTAAGTCTCTAACTCAATATCATCAAAATCTTCGACATTGAAAACACGAATTATTTGTCAATTCAAATCAGCATTGGTCTTGTGATCTTACAAGGAATAGATGAGCTTCTGATATCCAATATTCAAGACAAAAGAAACATTTTACCATTGGTACATTTGCCATTTGGCACAAGGGACTCGAAGACCGAGGCTAGACATATTCCACAAGTCATGTCAATGCTATATTCTTATATGGAGAGCATGCGCAATAAATACCATCGGTTTAGACTGGAATAACCAGACGCTAAAGATCGTCATTCAATTGAGACTTTGGCACATTTCGCCGAACATAACTGATTAGAAATTACGGTAAAAACAGAAACGATTGAATGTAAATCAGTTTATATACATTCACATTACCTTATTATATTCGTTGCGACCCATTTCTGTCAATTTCTAGGTCCCATTAATATTAGCGATTTAGCTCCTTTAACGTTTTTTATAGTTACTGCTGATGTATTAATGTTATAGTAAATCAATGTCCGAATATAGGTATTTTTTATTGCAACAAATTTCCCCCGTTTGATAAGCTAATCCCAATTGACGTTTGGTGTGTGATTGATGCAATTTGAGAACATTATTGATAAAACTGCTATTTACTCTCAAAAATGACCAAGTATGAAATACACTAAAATGAACACATTGCATGTATAAACTAGGATGATAATTAACAATTAATTTATTTCTTACAGGTTTTGGGGATATACGGTAACTCGAATGATTTAGTATTTTAGATAATATTATTCACAGGGATATTAACGCTCAGAAATTTGCTTCCTAAACATTTTTTGTGTGGTTTTTATTTTCAAAATAATGGAATATTGAATGATTAAGTATTTTAGATAATATTTTTCATCCATTTCGGGGTCCTCGAGGATGCGTCGTATTTCGACGTCTAATTCAGAAACTTTTCTCACAGAGGGTGGCTGTAATATCTGGGGTTTAGGTGTTTGCAAATTTTCCAGCAAACTCTCGAATATTTTAGGTACCACACTCCCTAGAATCCCTACCAGAGGTGCTAGCAAGCTACCAAGAAATCCACCCCCTCTGCAGGATTTTTTTCTTCTGTTTCAGGGCGACTTTACGGTCCGCTAAATGTCTTAGACTACGTTTGTGTTTCGACAATCGTTTCTTGTGGTATGCCGAGAGTCGAACTCTCCCTTTCAAGATGTTAAGACAACACTCACACAATGCGTCAATGACTGGTTTACTTGCGTTTTTAATAATATGTATTCGCTGTCTTGGTTTGGCCCGCTTGAGTGCTTGTAATAGCTTGGCGTGACGATCTAGACCATACATTATCTATTTTCGGACAACTGTGTGTAGGTACAGTCGAAAATCAATTGCTTTTATACATTTGGTACGTACACCGTGGGGTTATCCCTAGGGAAAATACTACTCCGAAGTCTCAAAAGGTCTGGGGTTGTACTCTTCAAATCGAGAAATAAATACGAATAGGGTTTCCTTGTAGCGTCCTCGTAACTTTCACGAACAAAATTAGTTTTCCCTGGGTACATCTGCTTGGCTAATTGCGTTATAGCAGACATGTCTCGAGGGTTCTTAAATATAATCATGTAATGGGCATTGAGACTGATCGTCCTGTGATGTTTACCTTTATGAAACAGATTTTGAACAATATAAATGACGGAAGTATTTTCGTGGTGACTTCCGCGGGTAAAGAGTTTTGATACTTTGTCCGTTGTCTCGTCCATCAAATCATCAATGATCAATAGTGTTCTTTCCTTTGGGTTTAGACTAGCGGATAACCCTTCGACAAATTCTACGATACCCGCTAATTCTTCGTACAAAGGTTGCCAAACACCGTAACACCACACGATACGATCTATGGGTTGATCGGCAACTTGTGGTAGTTCTAGAATCAAGCGCCTGACCAATTGACTCTTACCCGATTGTGTGGGCCCTGATATCATACATGTAAATGGGGTCTTTAGCCTTACATCCATTTCGTTAGCCGGGGTAAAAATAACTAATTCCATTTAAAAATGTTTAATCTTTTATTATATCAAAGTACAAATGTAATACATATAGAAAATGAAAATTATAATCATAAAAAAAAAAAAAAAAAAGTTATTTAGTCAACGTGTGAACACATTCTAGGATTTGAGGTTTCCAATACAACGTTGCGTGTAGAAACAACTCTTCGCTCTGATCGCGAATCTCTGGGACGAATCGTGCTATCTGTAAAAAACGATCTTTATTCAACTCTAGAAAACAGGATTCGAAGTACAAGTCCACAAAGTTGATTTCATCGAACCAATAGTCGATCCCCAGGCATGTATGTTCAAGCTGCCCTCCACGACCATTGAGACAGCCTTCACAGCGACCGGTTACACTTTTTGAAATCTCCGTGTTGATCATGTCTCCCAATATTTGCACAACTAACGTACGTATATTTTCGGCAGGACAGTAATGATCGTCATTGACATGCATAGGTTTTGAGCACATGGTGCACGGTACGAGGTGTGTAACGTGTTCCTCCGCATCTACAAGATCCTCGTGGAAAATGAGTTGATTTTCGGCGTAGACCCCTTCTACGCGTACTTCCGTGCTGTAGCAATCAGGCTGGTCCCATCCTTCATTGTTTGCTGCAGAAACACAATCCTCTGGAGTATTGTGCCACGTCTGTCCAGATTTTAACAAACTCCAATCCTTTACCCCGAGACCCGACTTGGCAGGCGAACAACCATACACATGATAACGACCGCGCTTGAACGATCTTGTAACTCGAGACACGCCTGTTAGGTCGGAAAAGGTTTTTTCGGGTATCACCAATTGTCTACCATTTTTTCTCTCCAGAACCATTTGGCGGGCGGTTCCCAGTTCACAGCTTAACTCACTGTTGATGGCAAATTTGGTAGGTTTTGTACAGGATAAATATCTTTTGAAACGATCAACAACCCGACTCCATTCTTTTAATGTCATCTTAAAAACCATTTTACGCTTCAACCCTAAATAACCAGCCTTCAGTAATATTTCAGGGGTTGTATTATCATTGTCCCCTAAACTCAATGTCAAACCGACTGAAACATCTGATATCTTGGGTGAAGCCATGTTGTTTCGTATGATAACTCAATAGTTAGGCATCTATTTATATATATATATACAACTCGTTATATTATTGGTTCGCACAGACCGCCCAATAAAAAATACGTTGGACAGAAATTATACACAAGTCTCCGCCTTTGCTAAGCCTACTACACCTAGGGGTGGTTCCTCACCCGTAAAATTATTTTCACACAACTCTTTGAAGCTAACTTTCAATGCCTCCCATTGTTTCACGTTTAAATGAACACCCTTTCGGGTAGGTTTTGGCATTCGTTCCTCTTCACACCACCAAAATTTACGAATGTTGACTCCAGGGTATTTGTTGTCGATCGTTACGTACACGTCATTACCAATAGGCACTGATTTCTTTACAATGTTTTTTTGTAAATACTCATCTATCTCTGAGGCAGTGTTCATCAATGCCTGCCATTGCCGCTCGAAAAACATGATACCATTGGGTGTTGGATATCTATCACTCTTAAAACCGTAACCATACAGTCTGATGTGATAACACACATCTTCTTGCCAAATACATTTTACAACCAAATAATCATTTCCAATATCCTTTCGATACAAGTCGATACTCATGATGTTAATCTCTTGTTTTCAACTTCATAAAACAATTCTACATTTGAACGGGTAATCACCCCCCCTTTTATACCTAGATTTTCGAAACTTAAAACCAAAATTTAACTACACCCTGTCACAAATATGTAGATTAAAACTATTGGCTTAGAACAAAATCGACAAAATCACCTGTCAAGCTTAATGGCGGAGGTCATTGTCCCTTAATGCAGGTATAGCTACACTTGGCGTGAACTCAATGTAACCTCTACACACCTGCCTATAAAGCGAAATATCTTCCCCCCTACCCTCCAATAAACAATTCGTGGACCCCATACCCTCGTTACAAAAGTCAAACACGATCAAAGAATACAACACCTGCATACCTTTTTTATTATTCATAACCTCATTGTTCAGTCAACAATAACCATATTCAACCTATAAATAGAACACCTGTGGAATGCTCTGACGTCAGACCTTAGGAATGTGTGACGTCAGACCTTTGGAATGTCTGGAATTCCAAAATTGCTTCGAAGTACCCTACCTACTACTAACATCTTGTATGTCATTGTTCTATTTGTTATATAAGACTACATGATATAAACTTTTTGATAAGCCTCTTTATCATATTTTGAACCAATGGAATAAAGAGCAAAGACCTAGAATATATTGTAAATATAATCAGGTTTTTGATCAACTGATCAAAGGAAAATATTGCGAATAAATTTGTTGTACTGCTATCGTAAAGAAATCATCATTGTTTTATTTGATATTTAGAATACACATAATCGTGTATATATTTGAAGTTAAGAGCAATTATGATTAGTGATACCTGTATGACCAACTCTCAAAAGATAATCTCATTAAACCAAGTACTTTTTTTCATTTGTATTAGTTGATTTATACTGAATAAAGATAACACAAACAAACAAAAATGAGTTGGCTGTGTGAACACCTCAATGACAAGTGGTATCAGATGCCTCAGAGAGAATATTCAAATGCTCCTTGTGATACGTTTGTAACACAATTATAACCTAATGTATTACACGGGAGTGGAGTGGGTGGGTCGGGGGGCTTTTCGATTGGCAGGGGACTATTAAAATGGGTAAGCAGAGATAAGCAATTTGATGAAACTTTGTGTATAGTTTCATTACATTAGTACCTTGACCATATTACCTTGACCAAGTTCGACAATGAGCATTCTCTTAGTCAGGATAAGCAAAGCAACTTGATTGGCCGGGACTTTGAATTGGTTGATGCTTTGGGGTATGATAACTTTGGTTATAATGAAGTACTGGAACATAACAACCCAGCTTTTAATTGAGCTAGAATGTTTAAACTTGGTGTAGATGTTCATCAGGTCTTGACTGAACATTTTGAGCTACAGCTTGGCAATTTCATTGGTCGATGCTTTGGGACAAGATAACCTTGATTTCTATCTGACAGAGAGTGATGAAATTTACAGTATAGTTTGATTGCTCGATACTTTTGAAAAAAATATGAAAGTGCGATTAATTAATGTGTCATCTTTTACTTTGGGGTTTTGGCGGGAGACATCAGCCATACTGTTTGCTTGTTTAATATCCCCTATACAATATACGCTCGACCTCATTACCCGAAGTGGGGTAGAAAAGTGGGATCTTTGACAATGAGGCAATGAACTTGTACATTATTTTGCAGCTGCACAAGAGGGAACATCAACGCCGGATTAACCATGGTGGTGGGGAGGGGGGCTGATACCGACCGTGAAGCCCCGCAAGGGGGTCGGGTCAGGGGGTTCTCCCGCTAAGAAATTTTAATTGGAGGCCGAAAACGTGATTTCATGGCATTTCAGACACTTGTGTCGGAGCCATTTAGAAATACCTCCCCCAGAAAAATAAAATTCTGCCACAAAATTAGCCACAATCCATGCGGGTGCTGTGAAATTTCTAGAGGAGGGAGCTGGAACCCATGAGCCCGTTAAATTCGCCACTGTAAATGAGCAGAGCTACATCAAACCTAATTTTGAGTCCCTCAGTGATAAATAACTTGATTCAAAATCGTATTATAGCCCCAACGACGATTTGATGAATGGAGACCGTAACGTTACGACAAAGTCTAACACTGTAAGTACCAAATAGTCATACGAGATATGTGCATCTCATCAAATTCAGCTTATACCATACCCACAATAATGTTACGGAGTCAGTGAGTTCAAGTTAGACAATACGCTGACCTTCCACTGACCATGCTTATAATATAAAATCTGTCAATGACAGCTGATTCATTGTTTAGTTTTTTATATGATATATTTAATATCAATAATATATGTATATGCATGCTTTATTTTACTTTACACGACCTCTAAAAATGCCCCAAATCGTAAAAATACGACTTTTTGGATTTCGATCTCCTTTTTTCGGCTACCCCGGACATTTTCAAAAAATGATACAATGATTTCACACAACAGGCCAGCTATTAGCCTCTCGATTGACAAGAGTTTCATCGCCCTCCATTCATTATAACCAATGTCATCGTGCCCTAAAGAATCAACAAATCAGCTTGCTTATCTCTGCTTACCCTAGGCAAAAAATGCTCATCTTTGAACTCAATCATGACATTGACCTAGTGAACGCCTACACCAAGTTTGAACATTCTAGCTTAATTAGAAGGAGAGTTCTTGTGTTCCAAAGTCCCGGCCCTTCAAGTTGCTTCTATTTTTCATTTTCAATTCAAAATGGTGACCATCACGTGACCGAAATCAAAATTCTGATCCGATAGATTTTTAGGCATTCCTTCCAGAATTCCGAAAATATGACGCCCGAGTCTGTAAGTAAAATAGCAAAAAAGCCTTTTTGATTTTTCACGTTTAAAGATGGTGGCACTTCCGGTTCGATCGACAAACTCCATATTTTGTGTACGAATCAGTAATTACTTGTCTAGTATCGAATTTTTTTTTTAGGTCATTCTGACCTATATTTCGACGATTTTTTTGAAAACTTTGATCCTTAATTTCACCAAGGGGGGGGGTAATTTAGAAAATTTCCAAGGACATCATTGAAGTCGCATTGGCAAGATCTACTAACATTCTAAATTTCACGAAAATCGCACAACTATTAAAGAAGTTGTCAAATTGGTAATAACTTCCGGTTCGAAATGACAGCGACGAATTTTCGAAATGCCAAAATCCGAAATTGCAGATTTGAAGTAAATGTTTCAAGATACTCAAAGAAAAAAGAATTAGTAAAATAGGTCAAATAGTCACAAAGTTACAGCACTGTAGGTCAAATGCATTCCTTCGTAAAATTCGGTGATTTCGGATTAGTAAAACGTTTTGAAAATACATTTAATCAACAGCCACCACCCATTTTTGGGGGGATAGGTAAAAGTTTCAGAACGATCCTATGGTTAGATTCTGAGAAATCCGATTTGTGGACAAAACACAAAAAAAAAATAACAATAATAATCTTAACAGAAACAATAAGCTTTCATATGTAATATGAAAGCTTAATAACAATAATAATCTTAACAGAAACAATAAGCTTTCATATGTAATATGAAAGCTTAACTAGATCTGCTAAGCAGATATTAAAGCTTTCATATTCACGGTCAGTTTCTGTCGCATCTCATGAGTTATATAAAGAATCTTAAAAAGGAAAAAGAATTATAACGAGAAACAATTCAACCGGTTCAAATTCTACCTTAAATAAAAACAGAGGTGTTATGTTCCAATGTGATCAGTCAAATTGCTTATTGCTCCTAAATCTACGCAGAAATTCTCAACATCAAACTTAGTCAAGGTAATGACATAATGAATCTATATTTGGAATTTTGTCACTCTCACTTCATTATAACCAAAGTTATCGTGCCCCAAAGAATCAATCAATCAGATTGCTTATCTCTGCTTACTGTAAGCAGACAATGCTCATCTTCGCACTTCTTCATGGCACTGACCTAATGAACGCCTTCACCAAGATTGAACATTCTGCCCCAATAAGAAGGAGAGTTATTTTGTTTCAAATTCTCGACCAATCAAATTGCCCATCGCTCTGCTTATCCAGGGCAGACAATGCTCATTGTCGAACGTATTCAAGGTATTGATGTAATGAAACTATACACCAAGTTTCATCACTCTGACTGAAGTGAAAGTGTCCGAAATCATCAACCAATCTAATTGCTTATCTCTGCTTACCCTAAGCATAAAATGCTCATCTACGAACTCCATGTTTTTAATGTATGGGGATCATGGTGGCTCAGTGATAAGAGACACTGATTAACTAACCAGTAGGTCTTGGGCTCTCTCCCGAGGTTTGACCAGAAAGTCAATTGTACAGGCTTGACTGCCCTTGTTAGCTGTACAGGACAGTAGGTCTGCCCGGTCTGACAGGGAATAGTGTCGAATTGTCAGGATGGGACGAAAAGCAATGTTCAGTGTACACATTGGCGTGCACGTAAGAGATTCCTTGATAGAGTATATCGTAATATAGATGTCCGGGCAAAATCTATCTGTTTGTCTTCAATGGTCCAGTCGGTGTATAAAGTAGGACTTTTGCCCTACTCCGTATAAGATTTCAAATCTTTGAAGTTTTAAGATAAGCATACCCGGTCCCTGAAATCTTAAATGGGACTTGCTTTTTCGCCCCTCTGTTCTGTACAGACTGGGCTAATACAGTAAAACATTGTAACAATCTACAGAGAGTAAATTTAACTTGTTGACTAAATAATCTTCAATACTTCCCATTAGCGGTATGTAGTGACAAGGATCGTGACCCAGATGGGATATACTTGAACTTTCTGGACAAGAAATCTGATATCTAATTTGGTATAGCACTAATAAGTTTCATTACATACTAAATTTTTATATGATTGCTTATCGCACTTGGCATTCATACCCATAGGTCCATCTTTAAATTTAAAACTGGTAGAAATCGAGGGTTGAACATGGTATTGCATCGTCACTGTTGTATTATTGCTTATCGCCCTTGACATTGTATTAAAGGCAGTTTTATATTCATAGGGCCAGAACGGTAAATTATAAAAAGTGTAAATTATTACCCAGAGTTGAACATTATTTGTGATTTTGCCTGGTAACGCCAAAACTCGATCATGTACTAAATAATGGCGGCACAGTAAAATTTCTTGATTGTCAAGTTTTTGGTTATAAATAAATAAACCCTCGCGATTTTTTTTTTAGTATGGAATCAAATCTACGGCTATTTCTGTAAAACACATGTTTTTTTTTCTTTTTCAGGCTTTCGTCGCTTTCGCTGTCTGTTTGACAGTAGCTGCTTCCCAATACATCGATGCTAAAATCGGACACGGTTTCGGACATGGTGTTGGTGTCTTTGGAAACGGAAATGGTAAAGGATTTGGAAGAGGACATGCCGGTGTTGGACATGGTCTTGTTGGTGTAGGAGCTATTGGCAACGGACTCAACCATGGTATTAGACATGGTATCCAAGGAAACCGACTCAGACACGGAATAGTAGCTGTTGGCAAAGTCGGTGTTATTAGTAACGGAATTGGTCATGGTATTGTTGGTAACGGTATCGGACACGGTATTGTTGGAAACGGAATTGGTCATGGTATCGTTGGTAACGGTATCGGACATGGTATCATTGGAAACGGAATCGGACACGGACTTATTGGACATGGAAAGATTGGTAACGGCATTGGGCATGGCATCGTTGGTAACGGTATCGGACACGGTATTGTTGGAAACGGAATTGGTCATGGTATCTTTGGTAACGGTATCGGACATGGTATCATTGGAAACGGAATCGGACACGGACTTATTGGACATGGAAAGATTGGTAACGGCATTGGGCATGACATCGTTGGTAACGGTATCGGACACGGTATTGTTGGACACGGAATTGGTCATGATATCGTTGGTAACGGTATCGGACACGGTATAATTGGAAACGGACTTGTTGGACATGGAAAGATTGGAGCTTACAAACAATCATACAACTACAACGGGTACAACAACGGGCCATACAACCGATACAACAACGGACTATACAAGTACAACCAATACAATAATAAAGGATACAATAGTTACAACGGCCCCTACAATTACAACAACGGTTACAACAATGGCCACAATAACAACGAATATGGGAAGGGATATAACAACTACAATAACAACGGATACGGTAACGGATACAACAACTACAACCGTTATCCTTCTTACAATAACTATCAAGGTTGCGGTTACAACAAATATTAAGACAATACGGCTATTTGATAGCATAATATTACCATAGCTTTAATACTTATAAATACTAGTATATAGTTTCTATTGTTCATGCATAATGTATATATGTAAATCTGGGAGTTAAGGTATATATAAATTTAATAAAATAATATACATATAAACTCTTGTTATTTATCCGTTATAGCTTACTACTAGTCCGGTCTATAGCTTGATAACCTCAATGTGCATATATACGTCACATCCTGTCTTCATTACGTTTGGTCAAAGGTCACGAGATGTAAATAGAGATATCGCTAATCCTAATCCTAACCCAAGACCTAACCTTAGCGCTTACCCTAACCCTAACCTACAATCTCGCCTGTCCAATCTCCTGGGTTTACCCCGGGACCTGCGGTTTCCTCCCACTGTTAATATGCGCAAGCAGATTATTGAAATAAAATTAAACCATATGTTAGTCCCAAAATGACCTAGTTTGCGTCGAGTGGACGTTAAACCCTCTCTCTCTCTCTCTCTCTCTCTCTCTCTCTCCGTGTCATGGTTATTCAGTGCAGAAACGAGTGAGTTACCATTACTGGAAAAAACGGTATTATGTCAATAGTACTGCTAGTTCAAAAGCGTTTTATAGCTGAGGCGCTGGAGGCGCCAGCCTCTCCGCGAAAAAAATCAAAGCAGTTGAAAAAATAAAACGGGAGAAAAATGCTACAACCGATGCGAAAAATGAAAATGTACCCTAGTTAGGGAGGGCTCTAAAGACAGACAAAAGGGTCCCACGAATGACAAAAGGGTCCCTAGGGCCAAGGGAAAGGGCCCCCGAGTCCAACTCAATCGTTTTCTATACACTGTTACTGTCGAATCCACTACTGAATGAGAATGCAGCCATTGCATTGGCATGACAATCATCAATCAAGAACCTCCCCTCGCGACAGAGGGCCCTCAAAATAGTACAGCCTCCGCCATGATAAACCTTAAAACGCCCCTATGCTAGTTCTGTAACTGAAAGTCAAAATGGTGAAAGATGTTATTTGGTCAACATTTATCTACACTAACACAGACATTTTCAGATGAGGCGTGTAATAAAGTGGCTTAAATATATGAAAATCTTGAAAGAACTGATCGCAACCTATACCCTGCATTTGTTAGGTGTGTGGTTGCGAATGGGATATAGCGTCTTGTGCCACCACCCCCACCCCACACATATACCACCCCGATTCTTCAATCCAAACTGATTAGAACCTGAATCACAATCGATCTAGTAGCAATCATACACAGTCGATATCAAAAATTGATTTCCATTCTCAAAGACGGCTTATCTCCCCTGAAACTGTTGAGTAATACCCGATTCCCAATTCACACAACTTTCATAGATTTAAGGAAATGGAATGAACTGAACAGAAATGGTTTTAACGACCTATCTGTCTGCGCCGACTGAATTAACTAAATTTTGATCGGACAGCGTCGTTACGGTCTTTTCTTTCGAATTCCAACTGTTAAGTAGTCTTTTACGGGCATGTAGATATTGTTCCTAGCCGGGCCATTTAGGTTTCAAATTTCACAGTGTATGGATAGCCTTCTGGTGGTTTCTGCTATGATTCGTTCATTGTTTCACTGTTTTTTCTACTATTAATTCGTTGATTGTTCCACTCTTATTTCGGCTATGATTTCGTTGAACGTTTCATTGTTATTTCTGCTACGAATTCGTTAATTGTTTCACCGTTATTTCTGCTACGAATTCGTTAATTGTTGAAGTGTTATTACTGCTATAAATTCGTTGATCGTTTCATTGCTATTTATGGGAATCAAGGTGGCTAAGTGGGCAAGGCGCTGGCTCGTTAGCCTGGAGGTCGGGTGTTCGATCCTTGCATTGGCCGAGAAAGCTCATCTCGATTTTCCGGCGTGGTTTCTTTTGTCAGTGATGCAGAAGGAGGGCCTGATAAGGACAGCTGCCTAGTCGTTCGGATGGGACGAAAAACCGAGGTCCCGTGTACACATTGGAATGCACGTAAAAGATCCCTTGGCAGTTGGAATTCGATATAAGAGTAGGCCGTAGCGCCGCTGCCCGGGCAAAAATTCCCTCATAGCACACTGTATGGCGTATGCCGAGTCTTCCATTAGCCCAGGTCAGGTGCAGAAGAGTAGGACGTAAAACCCCATTTCATTTCTGCTATTTATGCTATGAATTCGTTAAGTTTTCCACTGTTATTTCTGCTATGAGTTCGTTGATCGTTTCACTGTTATTTCTGCTGTGAACTCGATCAAGACAATGACCTAGTGAACGTCTACACCAAGTTTGAACATTCTAGCTGACCTACAGCGAGAAACATTTCAACCGGGCCAAATTTTCTATTTTAACAGTTTAATTTGCACGGTACCTTTAGTTATCAACCGAATATTACAAAACTTTTAAAAATAAGCTCCCCCTGAACAGCTTAATCGTTCGCAATAAACGGGGTTGGACATCATATTCCATGTCACGTGCAACCTGAAGATCGAAACGACGCCCGTTGACTCAATGACAGACGTTACGATACAGCGCGCACATGCTAACCATTCAGCCATTCAGCCTCCCTGAATTCGGAAAATTGCTGACTTATAGCAAGAAACATTTCAACCGGGCGAAATTTTCTGTTTTAACAGTTTAATGTGCATGGTACTTTAATTACCAACCGATTATTACAAAACTTTTGAAAATAAGCTCCAACTGACCAGCTTAATCGTATGCAATAAAAGTTTGGCTTGAATTGAAAGTTCTGAACGGAGAGGGTTCATCTCGATTTCCCGGCGTGGTTCCCCCTTGTCAGTGAGGCAGAACGGAGAGCCTGACAAGCACAGCTGTCTAGTTTGGATGGGACGAAAACCACGGTCCCGTGTACACATTGGAGTGCACGTAAAATATCCCTAAGCAGTTGGAATTCGATACTGTTGAATAAGCTCTATACGATGACTAAATGTGTAGATTGTAGTCACCCACACTGCATGTTTCGCTCAACAATGAAAGGGTGCCGTTTTTAATGTTCGATCCTTTTGTTCTTCTACTCCTGATATGTTGGACTGTTGATCGATGGTTTCATATATAAGACTACCAATAAGACTCTTTGTAGAAGAATTTCCCAACAAATATTATGTTGACTTTACGAGAAAGACCTCTAAACATACTCCAAATTGTAAAGATACGTCTTTTTGGATTTCCAATCTCTTTTTTTCGGCTATCCCTGATATTTAAAAAAAAATTATACAATGATTTCACACAACAGGCTAGCTATTAGACTCTCTATTGACAAAAGTTTCACGGCCCTCCCTTCATTATAACCGAAGTTATCGTGCCCTAAAGAATCAACAAATCAACATGCTTATCTCTGCTTACCCTAGGCAAAAAATGCTCATCTTTGAACTCAATCATGACATTGACCTAGTGAACGCCTACACCAAGTTTGAACATTCTAGCTTAATTAGAAGGAGAGTTCTTGTGTTCCAAAGTCCCGGCCCTTCAAATTGCTTCTATTTTTCATTTTCAATTCAAAATGGTGACCATCACGTGACCGAAATCAAAATTCTGATCCGATAGATTTTTAGGCATTCCTTCCAGGATTCCGAAAATATGACGCCCGAGTCTGTAAGTAAAATAGCAAAAAAGCCTTTTTGATTTTTCACGTTTAAAGATGGTGGCACTTCCGGTTCGATCGACAAACTCCATATTTTGTGTACGAATCAGTAATTACTTGTCTAGTATCGAATTTTTTTTTTAGGTCATTCTGACCTATATTTCGACGATTTTTTTGAAAACTTTGATCCTTAATTTCACCAAGGGGAGATAATTTAGAAAATTTCCAAGGACATCATTGAAGTCGCATTGGCAAGATCTACTAACATTCTAAATTTCACGAAAATCGCACAACTATTAAAGAAGTTGTCAAATTGGTAATAACTTCCGGTTCGAAATGACAGCGACGAATTTTCGAAATGCCAAAATCCGAAATTGCAGATTTGAAGTAAATGTTTCAAGATACTCAAAGAAAAAAGAATTAGTAAAATAGGTCAAATAGTCACAAAGTTACAGCATTGTAGGTCAAATGCATTCCTTCGTAAAATTCGGTGATTTCGGATTCGTAAAACGTTTTGAAAATATATTTAATCAATAGCCACCACCCATTTTTGGGGGGATAGGTAAAAGTTTCAAAACGATCCTATGGTTAGATTCTGAGAAATCCGATTTGTGGACAAAACACAAAAAAAAAATAACAATAACTAGATCTGCTAAGCAGATATTAAAGCTTTCATATTCACAGTCACTGTCACATGTCATAGAAATAATATGAACAGAAAAAAAAAATCATTATAATGAGTAAAAATTTGGTGAAGTTAATTCGATTTTTCACTGGTAAATAATTAAATAGACAAGTGGCATAACTTGACCCGCATCCCATCAGCTATCCTGAAAAATGCTAGAAAAATTAAACAAGTAAATTGTGTTTAGTACTGGGTTAATTAAGACAGGCATATGCCTTCGCTATACAGGATGACATGAGGGAAATTTAGCTTGGGAGGTGTAGGCCTGCAGCCAAAATTTCTAGCTAGCTTAGAAACACAACTCCGCTACACGGTCTTCCATAAAAGAACAACTATACATTTTTGGAAAGCTTATGATGCCAGGAAGACAAAATCTGGGAGTTCCAAGCAAAATGTTTGCAATTTATTGATTTAGGGCCAGATGAAATTCGTCAAAATTGTCAAATAAATGCTATTTGTGTATTAACAATTCTGAAGTTGACATAAAATTAAATAGTTGGTAAAACACCTCATGCCTTCATCCTTGGCAATGAACAGTTTATTGGACAGATTTTGATGTAAATAAAAATGCTCAAAACACAAATGTCATGGGTGAATAAAGAATTGTGGAAATCCATTAACGGTAAAAAAGAATTATCTCCCTTTCTGTCAAATGCCTGTAATTGATAGACTATCAGGTCTTGTATGAATCATAAGACCAGGTGTGGGCAAACAAGCCCAATAATTATTTTGTTTGTTGGATCTCAAGGGCCTGTTAGGGTTGGTTGTTGGATGTTTGCTCAGAAATTATCGCTTGTATGGAACATGCTAGAGTCGATTTGTAGCATA